TAACATAGCATAGTTCCTAGAATAATTTTGTTAGTTTTTGTTGTTTCAAGTTAACGTGTATATAATATAATAAAAAAAATGTTTATAAATAAAGTAGTAGCCAATCTGAAAATTAATATCCAGGCTATCCTTACTACTATATGTATATTAAATAAAATATAAAATGTATATATAAATTTAAAAATTATTTTCAGTGTACCAATAAACAAATTTCTTTCTTTTCTTTCTTTAAATATTAAAAAAAAATTTAATTCTTTAATGACATGTAAAAATCCTTCTAACAACAATTAACACAAAACTTTGTAATGAGTTTAGGACGACATTACTCAAAGGACTTATAAAACTTTCAACATTTTAAAAAAATATTTTGAGGTGTATTAAATATTGAAACATTTATATTTTAAAATAAACTCCATTTGAAACCCAATAATATTTGTTGACCCATATCGCTACATGGCCTCTATGTGTCTATGTCGCTGTAGTAGTGTAGGTGTATTATATATATACATATATACACACACACGACACAGAACACTATGAACTATCTATTCTGTTCGCATTGAAATTAATTATTTAGGCTTCAATAAAAGCTGGTGTGGAAGCGATCGACGCTGCACACGAAAGGCTTCAGGTGAAGGCTGTGTTGGTTGTATTGGGGCTAGTACGAGTATATATCCACATATCTATCTAGTATAATATAAATACTATTACTAACGGCGTGATCATCCTCCACCATTCACATTCTGTCATTATATTTATTGTTCATATGCGATACAGCAGATCATATACAAACAATTACATTTACAATTATAATCCATTGAAATCAAATCAAACAAAATAAAATCAAAAATCATTATGTAGGACAATTTCGCCGCTTATGAACGAAGTTTTTTGTATTAATATTCTTACCCTACCGTCCAGTTCAGTATACAGATTCAATTGAGAAGAACTGGCAAGAACATCAATTGAAATTCTTGTTTTTATAAGCCAGTTTATTCATTTTATGTACTTATATAGGTATCTATGTCTAACATTAAACGAAAATCCCATGCATGAATAACTATTGCCATGATCTAATTTAATTACATTACTGAATAGTATAACAAAAGGATGCGAATTTCAAACATATATTAAAAACGGTTACAGCATGTTACGTTGCAATTCATGAAACAAAGTTATATTAGTTAAATAATACAAAGTTAGTTGTTGTCGTTAAATTTGTAACTCTTGTTGCATAACATTCACGAGTTAGATGGTATTCAAAATTCAAACTGTTCGTTGTTAGAGCAACAACACAATATTAAATATTAGTTAGGATGCACTAATTTTCTGCAGAAAATAATAATATTTACGATAGGACCACGTTATTAAGCGCGTAGCGTTATTTGGCATTTTTAACACCATCGTGATTGTGTGAGAAGGACAAATCATTATGACATTGACAATTTTTTATCTTGACTCCACTGAGTCATAAGACAATACAATAGTTTGGAGTTACATACATAAACTTAGAATTTGTTACGATGCACCTACACATTTCACATTCTTCTATGATTAGATGAGGATAAAACTTGTAGAACTAAGTAAATCGTAAATTTAAATAATATATATTTTAATATTCTTTGAAGTCAGTGGAGGGTTATTATGAGGAGAAAAATGGGAAAAGTTGCAAAGAAAAACGTAAATAACCACAATACTTTTTCCCGTCCAACTATTCCTAGCAGTCAATTAAAAAAAGGTACTTTGAACGGAGTACAGCCCGACTCGAAGTGGAATAGAATGGCGTACAATAAAATAGTACGAGGAGAGAAATGAGTTTTAAAAAATAAAATTGGCAGATTAGAGTGGTTAAAAAGAAATTTATTTTTATATTTCTTTAAAATACCTAAGGAAGATCTGATATAACTCGAGGTAGGTGATCAAAATTTACAATAAGTTATATTTATATGAACATGGATTGATGATTAATAAAAAAACCGTCATAATCCTGGTAGAATAATTGTAAAATTTAACCAACTAAAGCTAGACACGTTATGGAAATCTGAATATAAACTTTCATAAACGAATTAATCGCGTGAGAGCACTGTTTGATTGTTTGCGGGAAGGTATTAAAATTATTTTAAATGTTTCACTTTACTTGTTGTGAAACTGCTTTCAGTTTCAGGTATACAATCACTGGAGTTGGCTTGGTGTAACTACCATTCAGAACTAACCAGAATGTAGATACGAACACGGAACTGCATACGGAATACTAAACAATATAGCGAAGTTGTTGTGAGAAACAAACATACCGTCACAACTCCCATCCCTCGTAGAGTAGTCAGATGCTTTGTAAACATAACTGGTATAACTACATTTCGTTCATTATATTTGAATATAATAGTGCATGGAGCGAGCCTGCTCTTGAATTAATTTTTCTTTTGATATCGGTGCTTTCTTCTGCTAAGAGTCATTTAAACACATAAATTCACACAATTTACCGTTTTATTATTGTCAGTCAGATTTGAAATTACGATCGCTTGGATGTATTTATAAAGCACTATGATTCGGCGTCCTCACAAAGTAAGTACCTATTAATTTCTAACGTGACATATATACAAGAGGGCTGATATATTCAATTTGCTGTTTAATGAACTGTTAGATTGCCGAACTCGAATTCATTTCGCGTACTTGTCATTAACATTACTCATTTATTTACATATGATTAACATTTGAGGCAATATTTGCATGAAAACATTAGCTGTACAGACGATATACATAAGGCTGCATCACCGGCTTCATCGAACGGAATGAAAAGAAATCCTGCATGAGTAATGTTTTTTTTATTTAAAAACAGATCATGTCTTGAATTTATTACTAACTTACAAAACAGCGAGATCATTATCTTCTAAAATACTATTGGAATATGTTCTGAACTTTTTCTGAAAAAGGTGGTGCAGCGCCGCAGTAGTATTCATGCCATAAGTGTTAGTGATGACGTGATGATAATAATACTATATTTGCGAATAAATGGTTAATGATTTTGAAAGCAAGAAGCATGAAATTTATGTTTATCTTTAATTCCTAAAATATTTTCAAACAATCAATGAACATTTGAAGAATAGAATTTTGTAATATATGTGAACGATGTAAAAAGTAAGGAATGTTATAAAAATCTCTATCGACATTAGTTAATTTAACGACTTCAATATTATATATTGTTTGGGGGACGGAAGTCTTACACCATATTTGTATCAAGATTGGTGTAAAGTAGGGTTGTGTACCATTAGCTTCATATTCATCCTTTACTTAGACAATATCTTACGAGACAGAGTAGCATGGATCTGGGAATACAAAAGGGTGGCATTGTAGTTACTGCCGTATATTAATTAAATGTACATACTTCATACAATGCAGACCTTATTGCTAATGGGATCTTCATCTGCAAACTGAAAATCCTAATCACTGCCATGAAAGATGATTGTATGAGCAAAGGCTTGCACTTGAACGTGAAAAACACAAACACAAAAATCGTTGTAATGGAAGTTACCAGAACCCTTTAAAGAATTATCCTAAGATTAGCAATGCTGGAAATTACACCGAAATGGCGTATTACATTGGTGAATTTTTGGGCAAATAATATCTAATTAAAAAAATATATGTGACTGGATGCAGATTCCGGCAGAGATTCAAATTGTTCGTATTGTCTGACGATGGAGTAAATTTTTAGATACCCGGCGTATATGCATAAAACAAATTCCGATACTTGATTTAAACAAAAATTGTTTGTAAGGACTGAAGCCAATGGTACTTGTTTACTTCATGCTTTTGCTCATTACGAACACAAATTATTAATTATTAAAAATATAATGCCAAATGAGTAGTTATAGTGTGTGAAAGTCCTTATGGGGTTTTCTCGTTTTTTTGTAGAAAAATACTGTGATGCATTGATACGTAAATGGACTATATTTATACAGTGTAAATAAAGCAGCCACAGCTGTGATACCAAAATGGGTTCCGGGAAGTAGTGTCGTCAACAGTCCAATAGTAATAAAGCAAAGCTCGTAAGCATTCCGCAGTTGCTTGTTTCTAAATCAATAAAATTTGTATTCAATGTATCAATCGTTTCTCCAAACGTTTGTGAACATTCTCTATTTTTAGATTGATAACGAAATTGTGTACTTGTTTGCGCTAATGACATCGATGGAGGATTGATAATAATTTCGGCTATTGCTTCTAAACCTATATTATATGTGGCCAAAGAATTGCTGTAACTTTATGGAATACAGTGAATAAATAAATAAAGATATTTTCACAAATATACAGCAGACATCAGATACTACACTTTACAGGTGTTACACTAGAAAGAGCTCAACGTGCAGTCATTAACGTTCTACTATAAAAACCTTCTTTTATTCCTCACTGAGAAACTACTCAAAGAGAGTAAAGTTTTAAGAGCAACATTGTCAATGCATGAAGAAATTGTCCACTTCACTGACTTTAGTCGTCTCGTCCTGCTTTATATCGTATTTGCGTACCAACAATTAATAGTACTTTTATAAAACATCAGGGACTTTACTTGCGTCCCTATATTTATGACAAAGTTTTCCAATTTCATACAGAAATGAAGGATCTCCTCACTAAAAAACTAAAGGAGACCGTATCAAGGTGCTTAATAACTATGTCATAACTGTAGCTGAATATCTTATGTAACAGCGCACACCTACAAACTACCTTCTACACGCACACACACACACACACACACATGCTTTCCATTTAATATTATTCTTTATAATTTATTTTCCGGTGTAATAGTCGTAAGTTTTATAGCTATAGTTGAACTGGAAGCTGTATTAACTTAGATTTCTGATTCCTACTACACAAAATTTGAGCTTAGTGCAGGGATTGCTGTTAAAACATTTTATCATTAATATAAAAGTGTAATAAAAACTAAAGATATTCTTTAAATGTGAAAGAAATATATTAATAATTGTTTTTTAAAAGTCAAAGTGGGTACTCACTCATGTCTCTGCGCGTGTCTCTCGCTGTCTGCGCCGTCAGCGTCGTCCGGACGACCCAGCGCGTCGTCGGTACGCTCATCGCGCTCCGCGCCGAACAGCACGCGCGACGCTGGGCTCCCGGAGCCCGAGCCCGGACCGGAGACCGAGCGCGACCAGCCGCCCGACATCTGTGCACACAACCGCACAACCATCACACTACATAACACAATACCTGCGAGCGCGCAACGCATTTACTCCTCTGCCTTTACATTTCCAACTGCATACATTCAAGGATATTTATAGTACAAGAACAATAGTACAGAACGAATCTAGAATATGAAACTCATGGTAGGTTAATACTGAAGGAAAGATGTATACAGTCACATTGACATGTCTATCGTACAGATGTAACGATTTAATGCTCTTCAGTTCGGAGGTGGAATGCGCAACATGAAGGAGTTTACTACTAAGTTGACGACTTGACGACTTGACGAATACTAATGAGATTAGACGTAAAGATAGATTTTATTAAAAGAATGAACATAACATTGATTTTTAAATAATTGGTATGGCACACAAGCAGAAGCGTTACCGATTGTTAAGTAGCATCATCATGCGATGCCCGTGATATCTCTCATGTTTTACCGGGAGACTAAGATGTCATACTTGCGTACCTACCCTGTAATACTTGCCATAGGGAGTGGTATACCGTCGCTACCGTGGCAGATTGTCATGCTGTGTGTGGTGACCACAATATTATTTTTATTTTATATTTTAAATAAAATTGGAGACTCTCTTTGTGATATTGAAATAACCGTTCTTTATTACATGCGTATAAATATAAATACGGAACATACACCAAAATAACATTTTTTACGATTTATTTTCCGGCTAATCTCTGAAATGTCTGGACCGATTTTGAAGGGAATTTAATTGGCAGGTAGCTGATGTAATAAGGTGTAACTTAGGCTACTTATATTTTAGAAAAATAAAGTTAAATTCCATGGGGACGAAGTCGCGGGTAGAGCTAGTTATATATATATTATGTTACTCTGTAAGGTATAATATTAATGAATAAATATCACTGCCATTTCTCACCCTTCTGCATACACAGCTTAATAAAGAAGCTGTTTAACAACAGAAAGCAGTTATTCGCGCTAATCTATTTTGTAAATGATTGGTTACGAACATATTATGCATATGTATATACTATAGCACCTGCACTAGATTGTATTGCATTAATAACAATTATATAGTGAGTTACTAGTTAATTGATATTAATGTAGTAATGTATGTTCATTAGTTAGTACTAACTGTTGTACTAGTAACTAAAGAACATGCATAATAAATAACAACATAAGTATTGAGCATTTTGTAAGACAGAAATAAGTTCACAATAAATCCTGATATTTATTATGGGATCAATACAAGAGTTTACTAGATTTCAGATTTCAGTTTTATTTATTTGCTATGTAAAACAGGTCAAATTAAGCTCGTAAGTGAATAAGATAAATTTTAATCTGTCTTTGACATGTATTCATTGATGTGATAAAATAAAATGGATTATTTTCAAAAAATTAGTTTAATATTGAAAATTAGTAACTCGGCTATTTCTTTTAGCAATCTATTATCTTCAATGGCAGTCCTTACTATACAAATTTTGATAATCTTTTTTTTTGAAATATCAAATTTGTCAATATACCCTAACTACTGCAAAAATCATAATATCTGTTCAGTCGGGGGGAAGAGGGTTGAGTAATAATCACATTGCTGGGAATGTATCACGTCAGGTTGACCATCACGCGGTTCCCCCGGAAACCAACGTGATAAATTCTTGGTACATTTATCAGAATGGACCAATCAACCTGACCTCATGCTCATCTTATCATCCTCCAATTGTGCCCCGCCAGCGTTAACCGTTAGCATAGACAGATGCACTATTCCATTATCATCCATCAAAAAAATCTGTTCAGCCTTACATACAGACACAAATACTGTTCAAATTAATTTCGTGCTTTTGTCAGCAGAAAAACTGGTCGTCAGTCGACCTGAACTATAACTAAGGCGTGTCGCCCCGCACGTGACCCGTAAGTATATGTATATCGCTATTATAATTATAAACACAAAGAAAGCATTCTCCGATCACTAAAGGTGTAGCCACAGCACAGTTGCAACTAGTAATTACGAAGTTAATTGTAAATTGTATGTGAACCATACGACATTGAGGCCAGCTGCGTCCGCACCGTCCGGACCGTGCTACACAGTTTGTAAAGCCCATTGTCAAATAGTTTTTAGACCATATTAGGCTGCAATCTATTTGAAATCATACATTATAAGAACACGTTGCTCCTGCTTTAAAAAACTGTGAGTTGCCTAACAAGAAACATATATTATCGTGATTTTAATATGTACCTGAACAAAACTTTGTTTCTCTTCTTATGAAAATTACGCGGAAGGAGGAATATGTATAGAGTAGAGTATAGAGTAATTATAGTTTAGATGGAGATGGATTACAATTTACTAATATTTTTAAAAATTATACATCGAAACACATTAAATCAATAAAAAAATATTACACACACTATCCTGTATTTGCCACATTAACTCATATATATACTATTTTGCTGTTATTGTTAAAGTCTATAGTCAAATTGAGAGTAGATTATTATTGTTTGTCTTTAATATTATTCGTTTAATATTAAATTAATTATGGAATATAAAGAACATAAATAATAACCACGTTTTTTTATGAATATACGATATAAATGTAAATGATATTAACGCAAAACTATTATTATTTTTAATAATTAATTGTTTTCAATTACATATGTCCTCCTTCATAATACCTAGTTATACTATTTTTTAGTAATAAATATGCATAAGTAGTTACAGAAACACATCACTATAGTAAATTTTAGATTTTAACATAATAACCGGATATAGTTTATGAATGATACGGTGATGTTAGCTGAAAGCGACGGCGGGTGCCTGCGGTTCCGCGAGTGCGGTCCGCGACACTGTTGCACTGCTGCGGGGCAGCCACCGAGCTGAGTCGAGATCGACTGAAACGTCGACGGTTCGCCACTAGCGGAATGGGCCGTGTCGTCCTTGATAATATGACTGGGTTGCGTATCGACCCGGTGGCAGTGTGCAGTTATTGCTAATTGGAGACAACACGAAGCACCAGCCCGTATTTACGGAGCGCGCCGCCGCGTCAACGTATCGCACCGGGCACCGATTGTTACCGCACGGTACGCCCGCGCCGACAACGCCGACGGTGCCGGGCGCTGGTGCGGGCTGCTGCAGCCAGCGATCACGTGATCAGATGGAGCACGTGATCGGCAGCTGTCTTAGGGCCTTAGGGCCGGTGATCGGTGGTACAGTTATAGGCACAAACAATTTGTACGATTGCTGGGCCGGTGGTCAATTCCAAACATTTGGACCTCACAATTAATGTACCTATAATTTGTAAAACGTGCTAATCAACATCCACAGGTTATTTCACTCCTTATACCAGCAAGACAACATGTTAACGCAACTGCTGTATTGATGTGGAGGCCATATAATAATATCTCAATAACAATCTCACAATTCACACATCGCCATCTAGTTCTAAGTTAAGCAGAACTTAAGTTATAGGTACTAGACAATTGATATAAATACACACATAATATTCATAGAAAACACACAGACCGATACGAACAACAATACTCTCGAATAAAAATGCTTATAGCGTGCGAGGAATTGAACCCGCGACCAATGGAAGTACGGAGGTATCATATACCGTTAGACCACCAAGGCTGTCATTATATAAATAAAATACTTAATAAAAAAGAGAGTTGCCTACCTGCCGCTCCGAGCCGGCACTGACGGGAGCTCCGCTTGCGGTCCCCAGGGACCGCTCTGGAGAGCCGGCGTTGTCTGCATCAAAAGTAACATAAATCTTTACTACATTTATTGATAAAGACAATAGTCTACGAAACTAAAATAGTTACACATTGTTGTCATAATGAACTTATTTATTACTAGCTGCACCCGCGACTTCGTCCGCATGGAATTTAACTTTATTTTTCTTAAATAAAAATAGCCTAAATTATTACATCAGCTATCTGCCAAAAAATTCCCGTCAAAATCGGTCCAGCCATTTCAGAGATTAGCCGGTACAAACAGACAGACAGACAGACAAAAAGTATAAAAAATGTTATTTTGGTGTATAGTATGTACCGTATTTATATTCGTATGCATGTAGTAAAAACCAGTTATTTCAATATTACAAACAGACACTCCAATTTTATTTATATGTAGATAATATTTATTATAAACACTAAAAGATCCAAAATATTTAACTTTAACTATTATATTCAATAGAAATTCATGCGAGTTGCAGTTTGAAATCGATGTAGGCGATGTGTAATACTGCTTACATTGAATCGATCTATTAGGTGTGAAACTAATAAGATTACGGTGAGCTTAAGGTAACTAGTAGACGTGCCAAGTGTTGCAGCAAGGGGCTTATTGATCAGTACTTTTCGCACGTTTGTCTTGTAAGTAGCTTGACGTGATCACAGACGAATATATATATATATACATATAAGCGAGCTCAAAGCAAATTTGGCGACCTGTATATAATGGTGGTATATATGGTGACATCGTGGTATTTACAATAACATAGCTGTAGTTAGTTGGTTTACTATCCCGATATGGACTGGTCATGAGTTCAAGTCGAACTTTGTATCAAAATGTAATCTACTTATTTTTCTGCATAAAATTATAGTACTGACTTATTTTCCGATGATTGAAACATCAAGAGCAAACGATATGAATACTGTATTTAAATATTCAAATACTAAATATCAAATAAATATATTTTGTTCCATACGATTCTTATTAAATATCTATCCTTTAATATTATATACGCGAATGTTTGTGAGTACAGAAGGATGTTTGTTACTCTTTCACGTAAAAACTACTGATCGGATTTTGATGTAACTTTACAGTAAAATAGCTTATGCATAAGAACAACACATAGGCTACAAATTTCAGGCAGGTGAAACCGCGGGCTCAGCTAGTATGATTATAGGAAGTAAGGTCTAAATATTCATGTGTCTAAAAACCCGAAACAAGATTAAATTTTACTAAAGTTACGTACCTAATGAAATAAAACATTAGTAAAGAATTTTGTATCGAGGTTTAATTGAACAATATAAATCGAGGCTTCTCGTCTGTACAATACAACAATTACAGCAAACCCCAGATGCTGGAGTAATACTTCATATTTATATTTAACGAACTGCGATTCCGCAACCAATGAGAAACATGTTTAACTCAACTAGACTTACAAACTTTGGTAATTAATAGTTAACTAACATAGAGCCCGGGGTGCTTCAAGTTGTTGCACTAACTCAGCAGTACAAGTTGCAAGCAATTCAGATAGTACGTAACTTTGGACGGGGCACTTGTGCATAAAGTTTGACAGAATTACAGTATTACTATGATCCGCACAGTACGTTAGATATAGTATAATAATAATATCAGGACAATTCACACGGCGCCATCTAGTCTCAAGTTAAGCTAGCTGAAGCTTGTGTTATGGATACTAGATAACTGACACAAATACAGATTGGACGGCCTCGGTGTTCTAGCAGTTTAGGACACCGCCTTACTTCTGATGGTCGCGGGTTCGATTCCTCGAACGGCACAAACATTAGTATTCATGAGTATGATTGTTTATATCGGTCTGGGTGTTTTCTATGTATGTATTTATGAAACAAAAATATTCTATGTATGTTAACTAGTACCCATAACATAATCTTTAGCTAGCTTAACTAGAGACTAGATGGCGCTGTGTAAAATGTCCTGAGATTATTATTATTATTATAGACATATATTTTTTTCGTAAACACATGCATTTTATACATAGAAGTTACGTAATGTATGATGATCATGGTACACGTGCTCGTACCGGCAGATCGCAACGAGCGGATACCGCTAATGTGCACTGTACTAGTTTGCTCTTTTATATGGGTCCAGAAACAAGTCATAAATGCAGATCACTACATGGTGACACATAATTATTGAATCTGTGCCATGTGCCGAGGAGGCGCACTCATCGTATAATCAAGGGGGTATACAAGTACTATGTTAGGTCCATCAAACGTTGTGCCCCTGGAAACCATCGTGATTAAATGGTGGTGTTTAACTACGATAACTGACATTTGCATGTATAATTGATAATTGAGTACATTGTTTTGTTTTTTGCATTGTTTGACATGCTCATCATATCATCACTAGTTATTCTTTTATCACCCATGTAATAAATACATTTTAATATTTTGAAAAATACATGAAATTATTCACATTATATAAATGAGATAATATTCTATAACAGCTCTAGATATTCCATTATATTATATATTCAAATATCTAGGGATCTCATATACAATATTAGATTATGACTGTGAATATACCGTTTCTATAGTGTATACAATTGTAAATAAGTCTGATAAAGGTAGCGACTGATGCAAACTCTTTGCACATATGTATATATTTCTTTTTGTATAAGTTTTTATTGCTTTTTAGAATTGTCGCATATTTTATTAAATTTTCACTGTTACTTTGTACCTACATTACAAGTATTTACCATTTTTGACCCGTTATTTCATTAATCTCACACTATAGTCCTTTCATTTTATTGCCCAAAATTACAATAATAGCCTGTATGGACACCGTTGCTTGTGATATTTCATTGTGTATTCTAACACATATATATTTTTTATAATATGTTGTTTGTAATATTTTTGTTACAAATAAATATTTTATCTGTTTTTGTATGAATATAATCTTACCGGCGCTGTAGGGTGGCGGCGGATGAGAGGGATGTTGGGGTGGCGGGGCGGCGTGGTCGCGGCGCGGCTCGCCCGTATTGCTGGGCAGCCGCTGCTCGTCTTCACCCCATACCACGCGCTGCATCTCTTCGTCCAGCCGCACTTCGTCTTCGCCTGCTCCCACCTACGCACAAACGGTCTTTCACAATACGCTTCTATTAAGCAGGGAATTCTCACTAATAAGGTTAAGTTACCACATCGCTTGCTGTACCGTAACAGGTTGTTGACAACTCATTACATCATTTATTTAAAAGAGCAACACACAAGCTTCTTGCTCATTCTTCTTACGAGTATGATGAGTTTGCGTTCTGAATGAGTGGTAGAACAAAAAAGGTGCATATATTAAGTTTATTTGAATAAAGATTATTTCTATTTCACATATAACGCTACTGTGGTGAGGTGATAACCACTGCGCTACAAGGAACTCCATAGATCCTAATCGATATTAATTTCCTAGTCAATTTGCCACTATAGGTTAGCTGACCCGAGTCAATCTCATCTTATCATTCATCACTTCCCCACTTGTCGCACGCAAACGAAGTGCAACAATCAGTGTTTATTTAATGATGATAATGGAGTGGTGCACGCGCCTGCGCTAACAGTTTACACTGAAGGGGCATCAATTGAGGATAAGATGAACTTGAGGTCAGGTTAGTTAGCCCATCGTGATAATATTATTAGGAATTTATCATGGTTTTCAGCTAGGATCGCATGGAGATCAACCTGATATACATTACAAGTTATGGAGTCAAGAACAATCTCTTTTACCCCCTGCAAAAATCTATTATCGCCCATATAAAAAGAAACAAGACATCGCATTCGAGTTATTACTGAATCTCAAGAACCATCAAGCTTTTAACAGTGTGGATTGCCGGATAATCATTAATCAAGAAAAAGCTATTTCAATACTGTAAAAAATTCTGATAGCCTTCTATCCCTGTATACAAGTCTTGGTTCATCCATTATTATAACTCGTCACATATGCATACGCCGAATATGTGGGTCAAAATTGGTTAGCCGGGCTCTCCCGCGGTTTCCCAGTCGCTCCGATACAACAATGTATTTTATTATGCTTCATTCATATTGCATATCACATTTCAACCAACGCGGTAATTCTCCTTTCATTATACCGAAACTCTCTATGAATGAGAAACAATAACTAATGCTAAATAGATTCATTCAGCTTATATAGGATGTATCATATCCGAGGTCTTTATTCTATATATTTGTACCACTCTGGCAGCTAATGAAAATCAGTGTTTTGGTCGTTGAGTAAATTATTCACTGAGTAGCGCAACCCTTTCATATACCTGTGCTACCTAATGTTATTTATGTTTATTTTCATCTTTTCATTTTACATGGATTAGTTAAAGTTTATTATGGTTTATACATAATATATAATACTAATCATATATATTACATTAATGTTGCTTGTAATATTTTCGATTTGTAATATAGATTTTATCTGTCTACCTATTTGTCTACTGGGTGAGACAGCGGCTTTATAACCGTTCTGTTTGGAACAACAACAAATAGTTAATAACTTCTTTGTTGGTGAATCGATATCATTGAAACAAACACTGATATATTATGAATACCTGATAAATAGAACACGACAGATATTAAAGCGTTTATATCAATTAAACTAGCAATTAGACAAATTCCAAAATTAGAAAACCTAATTATGTAGTCCGCAAACATATCTAAAGTAATAATTGTATAATAAGTTATTTAAAAATAAAATAATACTGTCTTTACACCCGGCTTACTTATGGTTGGTTGTTAAATGAGATATAATACCTATATAACATTTATATTTATGAATCGCGCGGTAATCAAATTTGTAACCATCGCGATCGGCAGGAAGGCGGCGTGCGAAACCGGCAAACAACCGAGGACGTTAACGCATTAACGCATAGTAAACTAACTGCTAGCAATGAAACAGACTCTTTCAACATTAATTACTACGAGCTGTAAAATGGAGAGATGTTCTTTGTAGAGCGAGTATGTACAAGTAATAAATAACATTGACTATGTCTTTTCCGTGTGTAACGACCTGTCAGTTTTATTGGATATTTGCCACATTGATGCCGGCGTCACGCAGCGGCACGCGGCCGGCCCGTGGCGGATCGCAGCGAACAGAGTGTCACCAGGTGTCGCCCGCGTGATCACCAATCTTCCTTTACGCGATATTCTTTCACTCGCGATCAGGAGCGCGCGCAATCTTGCGCGGGAAAGTCATCGCCCGCAATCGTGTGTGATCGTATTTTTTTATTATTTGCGATCACAATACGTGATAGCGCGTGTGTTTCAACACATTTCACTTTCTTTTACAATTTTATTTTTTTTACAGATTTCATATTCCAAAGACACGTTTAATTGATAACTTATGAATGACTCTATAATTAGTATTTAATTTAGTATTATAAAACGGCTAACACTATGATAGATCACCCACTCTTTCTGGATCTCTATGTATACACATACATACACAGCCTATTCTACGTGAAAGCCAATTCCCGCTTAAAAGAGCACAAGTGTAATAGCAGCTAATGTCACTGCCATATTTTTATAGGATTTTTATGCCACAGCGGTAGTTATTAAGAATACAAATAAGCTAATAGTAAACGGTTATCTTAGCCTATAATGGGCTGAAACAGAAAGGTTGTCATATGCGCGATGTCAACCCTTAAGAAACAGGAATAAATAAATTATTGAAAGACCCATACGATAGACTAAACAAAAATACTAGACAAAACCTAAGCAGGAAATTCTTTCCACAATCTACTATTAACTAATAAGATTGTTAGTAATTAAGTTTGTATCAATATACGTACATAAATACTTCGGTGCAACAGAATGACAACGCGAAGTAAAATTTTTTACAAGCCTAAGTTCACAGTCCGGTGTCGGTAACGATAGGTTCGCGAACACTACCACAAGGTACGTGTAGTGGGGTAGATGGCAAGCTATTATAATGAAGTAGACAAACAAATACAATTGATAGACTCTTACAATTCATGAGTTTCTAGGATACCACGAGCGGTTGTGTGGACCGGCCGTCCGTTTACGTACCAATCGATGTGTATTAATATGCACAACATACAGTCACTTAGCCTGACACATTACGCGTGTGTAGCCGATAAATAATATAAGTCCGAGCATTAGGGTCAAGACAATCAACCGTGCACCGTCACCGATCCACACCTCACCGCCTGCGCCTGCCTCTCGCCATAGTGAGCTAGTATTGGTAGTACCCACATCGGCCGCATGCCGCACTACTTCACCAGCACATAATTATGATGCCTAGACTCAACAAATTATTCCACTAATATTATGACATAGTCTCGTTTATATGCAATTTGTTTTTTGTCACAATTTATTATATAAACGTCTATTTTATTACAAAACACTAGTTATTGATAATAATCTGTACAGTCATAGCCGCTTTTCAATAACAAGAACACTATAAGTAGTTATAAAGCGCATAAAGGGCATACTGCCCTACAATGCACAAAGTATTACTGTATTTTTAGAGAAAATTCAAATCCTAATCCAATCCGCTCCGACTCTCTGTCTCTATGTTCGAAATTACGATGACCTGATTTGGAGTGCCTTTTGAATACGCCCGCATTATTGTTGAGAGAAGATGAAAAGGCTTACTGCGGCCAACAGCATCAGATAAATTAAACATTTACTATAATAATTAATGTAATATATAACTGCTTTACATTCTGAAAGTGTCAAAGTAGGTCGTATCACCTCTTATGGGATAGACCCATGGGTTATATAGATCACAAATGGGTGATTATTGTTGTAGCATAATATCTACGAGGTACGATCAATTTTAAAAATTTAAAAAGCTATTAGTATTCGAGTTTTTATTTTATGCAAAATGATTAATGGCATCTGAGTCAACTATTTTAGAAATGGTTATTCATTGAAGAGTAATCTAATTCCATCGCACGCTATATTTCTTGAATGCTTTTTATAATTAATTGTTTCACTTACAAATACAATTAGTCTCGCTGGAGGGTCTCTCTCTGCTGAATTTTCACAGGCACGATAGTGTTAGATCGCTATCCATAGGCCATGGAATCCTACAGGTGGGTGCATACCGTGCTACGAATTTACATTTGCCAATATTATTATCTTAATAAACTAACTTCTATTGTATCGTTTGTGCACCATAATATACTGTCGCTGGCATCCTGGATAGAATCATGACCGATAACGACAGCGATGTTCAAAACAAGCCCGATTCACTTTCGTCTAGAATACGATCAAAACTTTTAGCACAGACTACAGAGGTACGAGACGAGACAGCACACCGATCCATGGGAATAAACTACATGTACTGCGAATGCCCTGCACTAGATCTGGAATACTGGAGGCGTAAGGCGTCGGCGCCAATTCAACACGGGCGATTTTTGCAAAATAATTTTCCATAATTATAAATGGAAAGTAATATTATTTTTTCACTATTTGACGTTATAACCAATGACAGAAAATGTCAACTTTCGATTACTAGTCATTCTGTTGAATCAGAATTAACCGTGACTGAATATTGTTCATATACAGTTAGTTGTCTCATACAAATTCTTTGTGTGAGAAACCCTGTGATTTTTTCTGTAATATTTAGTACAGAGCGTGTAGACACGGGAATGGTGAAGTTGTGGTGTTAATGATATCGACTCTTGTACACGTTAGGTATTCGCAACATTTTTTAAATTGTTGAATGTTAGTAAAAAGGATTAGTGATTAAAAATCTACTTTATATCGAATGGGAGTTATACTAAATAAGTGGTGACAAAGTTAGTAAGTCTATCGATTATTTTTATTTAAATTTCAATAGAATAGAACAAGTTAACAAATACATATTAGAAATTGGAATTAGAGATCAGTACTCTGTAAACCGATTCTACTTTAAGTCATATATATTATTCAAACGATTTTCACAGGTTAGGATAATACATGTTCGATACGCCCATATTTATTGATATCATGGGCATATCACGGTACCTACTCTTTGTAATAACTATAACGGTCTGTTAGATGACAATTTTATTGACAAAAATACATTGCATGGGATTTTTTAATAAGAATAGCAAACGGCCGGTATTA